TTAAAGTTATATTTTTAACAGGCTGGGATAGGATTGGTCCGTTAAAATCTCATAACTTCTTTATCCGATGTCCATTTTTGTCTATCTTTTTATCGTTACACTACTAATAACGAGATCTTCGATTCTCGTTTAGGTTGTGTCGGCTAAAAACCGCTCGATCTAATACTCGAACTTTGGGTTGTACACCGCTAAGCCGAAACTTCGAAAAATCATAAATTCCTCATAAGAAGTCAGATTTTGGCGATCTTTTTATGGATGCTCTTAGGTTAACATATTCTACGACTTTCATTTAGATTACTAAGGCTAAAAGAAGCTCTATCATAAATTCACTATTTACGTCTCCCGGTGCCGTGCCGGTTTTGCCGTAAAACTTCGACGAGCCATAACTTCTTCGTTATAACTCGGATTTCGACGCTCTTTATATGTACGGAAACCTTGTAACATATAATAAAACTTGGTTGAGATTATTTATTCTTAATAATCTTTTGTCTAAAAGTCGTTTTCGACCCCTATTGCCTCTAAATTGACTAGCCCGGATCTACGGGAGGTACAAGGCCCAAGTTAGGGAAAGAGTGAGTGTGGGTTGGGCCCGTATCTCAATATCAGTAAGGGAGTGGATGGGGTTCCATGACTCATCGGTAGCAGGACAAGGGCGAGGCCCAAGATAGGCGAGGCCTCAGGACAGGATTTGGGAGTATATGTTAGCTTATGTGTTGTTATATGCTTATGTGCTATTATATGTTAATGGGTGGGGCTCAGTGACAGGTGAGGCCTATGTTAAACAGATCTGTATCCGAACGGGGCTCGAAGCCTGGTGGGGCCTGGAGCGGTGGGGCCGTTGTAACGGGCGAGGCCCGAAGCAGGGGGCGATGCCCAAGATAGTGGGCGTGGTCCAGTATGTGCAGTATGTGGTTATGCTTGGTATGTGGTAGGGTGGGGAACTCACTAAGCTTCGTGCTTACGGTTTTCAGTTTTGGTTTCAGGTACTTCCGGTAGCGGAGGGAAGAGCTTAGGGTGATCGCATGGCACACACCATAGATTAGACGGTCTGGGAATGTTTTACTCTGATAACGAACATGTGTTTTGGAAATTAATACTCTGTTTATGTTTCGGAATGATGATTTTGCTTTAAGTAATGTTTTATTAAAAGAAATTTTTAGTCTTGAATTTTGGGTCGTTACAGACCATTTATGTAATTTACTCTAATTTTAATCTTAGCGGGAATAGAAAAGTGATAACTTTTATTTTAGTTATAATGGCACAAAATAAATACGTGTCACTAAAAACATAGTATAGTGGCACAAAACAAAATGTTCCACTAAAAACTTGTACTACTAAATGTAATTTTATTTGTAGTGTTATTCGGGGCCGTGACCTGAAGATCAATTATCATAAGGCTTCAGGCTTTGGGGGAAGAGAGATTTAGACCCTTTTTGAATGTGGGTATTATGGATTAGGTGATCCGAGAGTTCGATTGTCTTTTGGAGACCAAGGGTATATCGGTAAAGTGGCAATTCGAGTCTTTTATGAATTATGGATTTTAGTTCGGAAAGGTTTATGGAAGGGGGTTGATAGAAGTATAAAGCTTGTCATTACCTTTCCATAGATATAAGGATCGTCAAAATCGGATTTAGAACAGAGAAGTTATGGCCTTCGGAAGTTCGGTAACTTTAAGGCTAAGCCTAGTACGCTGGGCATACTAGGCAGGAGGATCGTAGGCACCTCATGGAGTATGTTGGGCGTACTCCAACCTCATGCAAAACCTAATTTATGGTCTTGGACCATATTTAATGATCTTAACTCAACTCCAAGCCCTCTTATCTTCAATCTCCACCCAATTAAACCCTATATTTGAAACCCTATCTTCCATTTGAGCATTTTGAATTTTTTGGTGTGATTTTGGTGCGCCTTAGAGAAGAATGATTTCTTTTTGGAAGCATTGCTTGGCTTAGAGCTTGTGGATCCAATCTCTATTCATCTTTATCAACTTCCAGGGGGTATAAAGTTTCTAACTTGATGATTCTATGTTTTAGATCTAGTCTAGAGTATGTTTTGGGTTTATTTTGGTCCTTAGAGTCATCCTTGTGAGTATGAGCTACTCCAAGAGCTTAGGATGTTGGATCTTAGCACTTCCGAGGTTGTTGGTGCATAAAAATGCCATCTTGATGGATTTGAGAAATAATTAAGTTGAAGTTCATATTATGGGTTTGGAAGGATAAAAAAGGGTTTTGGGTCCCCTTAAGGCATGAAAAGGAGTAAAGTTGGCAACTTTATGCTTTAAGACCATATCTAGGGATCTCACTAAGCTTTGTGCTTACGGTTTTCAGTTTATGTTTCAGGTACTTTCAACTCGAATGGGAAGGGCCCGACTTGATCGCACCGCATCCACCCTTATTTTCCACATTATGTGATTTTGGGATTTGTACTATGATATTATTTCACTATAATACACTTTTGGTTGTTTTGACGTGATTACTAGATGCTTTGAAATGAATTAAAAATGAAATTTTACCTTATAATTTTTGGGACGTCACACCATTCTTCTACTTCGACATCTCTTCCATGCGCCGATTCCTCCCATCTCTGCCCAACGCCTTTGTTGACTCTGTTCAGGCCTTTGTCGTCTCTGCCATATTCTTACTACACTCCAGCATCACCAAAGGTACTCTCTAGCACTCATTTGTTTTTTCGAAATTAAATGAACTTTCTTGTTTATCATTAGAAATAAGATGCATGTATGAAAATAGATGTATTTTCTTCTTTTTTCTTTGAAACCAGAAGCATTTTATTGGACTCATTTTGTTAATCAAATGGTATGTAATGTTGTTGTATGATAAATTCAAATCACACTTGAGAATTGAGATGGGTTTGCAAAAGAAACAAATTCATATGATGATTATACCATGGTTACGAGGAATGAGGAATGCATTGATATTAAGGAAGTTGAATTGATTAGTGGGGAACGCAATGATATTAAGGAAGTTGGATCGATTATACAAGCCAAACAAACTATATGAAAGTTTAAGGTCTGCTTGTAATAAAAAAAGTATAATATATTTTTTTGAACATTAAAGTTTTGGTTTTATAGAATGAAATGTGAAGAGTTCTTATTGTTACTAATTGAACATGTAAATGGGTGGGAAGGAGCACCCAAGTTCTCAAATTTTTATGTATTTATATTTTTTAAGGACCTTTTCGACCCAACATCATTTTTCAAGTTATCACCTTTTTTAGTATAAAACTAGTAAGAAACCCGAGCTTCGTTGCAAATCGTTTTTTTTGGTATTATGTTATAACATATTTGACAAAGATTACTAAAAATACATTGTATAGAATTCAAAGAAAAGTTTATGTGTGTTTATTTGATTTAACAACAAAACATTATGTCTAACACTTGGTAAAAACATAGTAGTTTTACAAAGGATATATTGAGAATTTAAATGATTAATTTTCTTTTGTTTCTTTTGGTGTAGATGCTTAACATTTGAGTCTACCAGTAGCTATTAACGATGGAGTTCGTATTCAACAACAACAAATGATATTCAAATCCTGCAAACATAAAATGCAAGTAAAATTGCAAATAACTGTATGTATCCAATTCATACATACATTTCTTGACAACTTTGAGTGGTCATATAACCCATTTTCGAGACTAAAATGCTAAGAAACAGTGAAATAGGAACGAAAAATGCAAAGATTTTTTATTTTTTATTTTTTATTTTTTATTTTTTAATTTTTTTTGAAACTTGCGGTGAAATTGATATATACCACACGGATCAAAAGTGTGTTTTACTAAAAAACACGGTTTTACTATTCCTAACTTTGGCCAAAATTAATATATTCCAAATTAATATATTCCGGGACTACAGAGCTAAAAAAACAGTGAAATAGAAACGAAAAATACAAAAATATTATATTTTTGGACCGTGCTGCGAAATTGATATGCCGTAAGGACAAAAAAGTGTATTTTACTAAAAAGCATTGTTTACTATAGCCATATTTAATATGTATATATTAATTTTTGTAAGTGTTACCAATAGTATAATACCAAATATGATATTCTTCCTTCAAATCAAACTTAGGTTGAAGTTCCATTTATTATTATTATTATTATTATTATTATTATTTAAGTTTGAAGTTTATAATTAGTTTTTTTCTTTATTATTTTTTTAAATATATGTATATTTATGTAGTAGTTTTCTTTGTACATTTTATCAAATGGATACATTTTATCTGGTATAAAATAGAACTATCGTCATTTTCATCGATCAACATAGTTATTCATAAACATAATCAAACATCATGTTTTTAATCATAAACGAGGCAAATTAAATTAGAACTTCTGATTTAACTTAATCATATACGACCCCAACAATCACTATATTTTAGAAGTATAAATACATATTTTTATTTTTAAATGTATAGAATAATTTCAGAAAACATTTGTTTTTTCATATAAATACATTTTTGATTGATATACTTCTAAATATGTAAAATTTGTATGTCTTCTAGAAATTATATTAACATTCCAAAAAATATATTTGTATTTCTAAAAAACGTAAAACTAAGTATTTGTATGATGTTCTGTATTTTGTTTATATAAATATAATTTCAGAAAATGTATTTGTATTTCTAAAAAACATAAAAATATATATTTATATGATGTTTTGTATTTTGTTTATATATAAATATGCTATTGCTGTCTAATATAAAATCCATACTTAGATAAAAAAACATGAAAAATATATAAACTTAAAGATTCCTTTTTACAAACTTGATTTCATCATTTTATAATAACTTGGAAACGTACATAAAAGCAAAACAAAAACAAAAAATAAAAGCTATGAAATTTTAAAAACAAAAAAATATCACAAATACAAAATCAATAAAATTGGATAAAGTTCAAATCTCAAAACTCTTTCCTATACAAAAACTAGTACTTGAAACGGAAGACGGAGGACGATTAGGGTTTCAGTAACCATTGATCACTATTCTGAACAATGAAGAACATCGTGAAATCCCCCGAAGAAGATGCAGATGCTTCTTCTCCATTTAGTCGCTTACCTGACGAAATCATCCTCCAAATTGTAAACAAATTAATCGATTTGAAAGCCCTTTGCTTTTGCTATCTCGTTTCCAAACAATTATCCTCGATTGTACTTCAAGTCGATACCATTTCCTTCACTTCTTCTGTGATAGACCCTAACATTCCCGATAAGAACACAATCAGTGATGTCGCCCCAAGTAGGCCGCGTCCGACAGAAGTTTCTTCGTTTTTTGGTGAGTCCTTTCTATCTGCAAAAGGGTTTTTGAACAAGTTTAAAGGGGTGAAGTCCTTATATATCGAACTTCCATCTGTCGGTCACAGAGCTATTGATAATCGTTGTTTGTTCAAATGGAAGGTTAAGTTCGGTAAGAAATCTGTATCGTTTATATTTCTGTCACCGAATTCAATTTGTGATAAGGATGGATTCTATCTCAATGGGAATGGGGATGCGGAAGAAGACGTCGAGTTAACCAGTGATTTGATTAAGAAGAAATTTGCCATTTCGATTTGGTGTATGGAGGATGTGATGGCGTGGTATATTATGTTTTTGCACCTTCTTGATAATCTACCAATGCTGGAAAGTGTTTCCATTACTGATTCAGGGAGAAGAGGGAGGTTTTCTCTGAATGGGGAAAAACTCAGTGAGGTGAAGCAATGGTGGTTACATCCACCTTTGGAACCTAGGAAAGAGCTTTTAGGGATTCCTAATACGGTGAGTAAGTGTTACATTCCTGTTTTGAAGTTGCCAGTTTCTGGGTACATGATGAAGGGGATATTTTGTGCTCTAATGGAGTCGAAAAATCTAGATGGTGAAATTGATGGTCTTTTGAATAGTGAAGATGGTTTTGATGATAAAGAAGAGGCTGCATATACTGAAGCTATGAAGGAGATTTTGGAGAAACATAGGGGTTTGATGGACTGATGCAGATGTCCATGTTGTATGAATCAGGTGCATACTCTGAACCTTAATATTCTTTTAACTTTTATATCTTAGTCTTTTCTTTTCTACCATACATGTTTACTTAAAGATTCGTGTTGAATTCCTCACCCTTAAACATTTCTATTAACATATGGTAGTACTTTCTAATTTGCATAAAAATGTCACAAATTTGTCACATGTATAACATCATCTCCAAGGATAAGAAGAAGGCATTTTACTACTATAAAAGATAAAAACTATGAGTTAAGTTGAAAAATTGAAACACTCATAAAACTTAAGTTATAGAAACTTTTTATTTGTATTTTGTATATGCTTCATACCATGAACCATGTAGCATGAATCATTTGCGTGTATGCTATTGTTTTGAAGTAATTATTAGAAATTATTTGAAGACCAAAATCTCTTGTAGGAGAGGGAGATCGAGTTTGGTAAATATATTTTGGAAGCCATAAGTAAAGTTTTTAGTTTTAGGGAGAGAATAAAGATTAAAATCCTAAAAGTAAGAAATGAAAGTCCAAGGTACAATGTTAATAAAATGCACATTTTACTTGGGTGCTGTATAATTTTCTAAAGCAAAAATTCATGAAGTCTGCTGACCACCTCTGCAACCCTCTGCAGTAGAAGAGCTGGACCAAACGGCTGCAGACTGTAATAAGAAGTGTGTTTGCTTTTTAACATCTGCATACTGCTGCAGATATTAAAAAATTAAAATAAACTAATTTTATAAACCGAAAATAGATTTTTAATACGTAAAATTTAATAATGTATAACATTTCGGTAAAAATTAATGATATTTCAGTAAAAGATAATGATATTTCAACAAAAAAAAATAAAGATATTGTAGTAAAAATAATAATATTTCATCAAGAAATTATCATTATTGAATATAAAAAAACGAAAAATAAATTTAACAAGAATAAACGAAAAAACGAAAAAAAAAGTGAAATAAAATTTTAACAACGTATAATCAAAATTTCAACAATAAAAAAAGAAGAAGAAGGGGTTGGAAGAGGCAGTACAAGTGCTGCGCCAAACAGAGTACTCACAGAGGTTTTTGACTCAGAAGACTTCTAAAAAACAAACAACTGCGAGATGAAAAGTGTTGCGTGTGTGTTGCGCCGCACAACAATAATAGATTTGAAGAGATTTTTTTTTTCAAAAAACAAATAGTACCTTAGTAATACTGACTTTAAGAAGCTAAGGTGTACAAATATAATGATAATGACCAATCATATACATGAAAAGACATTTCATTATCCAAATAGGTAAAGTTGGATGACTTATTTGTTAGCTAAAATTAGAAGCTTGCAAGAAAAATAATTGAATCATTATCTTCTAACCAATTTGTGATTTACACGAATGACATTTTATATGCTAAAATTATTAGAGCTACTTTGCATGAAAAAGATACTACTCATTGAGCTTAATAATTCGTTGGATGTGTATGAGCTTTGTAACTCAAGTTATGTGTATGTATGAAATGTATTTTCAGGTACTGAAGCAAGCTCAATTAGCAGCTAACATGTAAAATATTTGTTATATATATTAGTTAATAGAAGATGTAACGAATTTATAAAGATATATGGTGTTTCTTGAAGCGGATATTTCCTTAGAAAGATGAAAACATGTTTTGGTACGTAAGTGCTACAATATATAATAATATATGCATCTATATTCATTAGCCATAAAGTCATCTGTAAATGTAGCCGTTAGCTTGCCCCATGTGCCTTGCACATGAGGGCATTTTGGTAATTTCCCTTTGGTCTTCTCAAGACCATTCACCCACCTTCATCCCCTTGACATAACCCTTCTCCATCCATCACCATTCCCACATTCTATCATAATCCACCCCTTCTCCATCTATCACCATTCCCACATTCTATCATAATCCACCCTGATCTCCATTATGATTTGGTACATATATTATACTTTGTTTATTGTTTATTAATTGTCAAATTAATTGTGGAAAGAGAATAAAGTTTCATGCTCCTATTTATTAGCTCAATCTTCTTTAAAACCATGCACCTATTATTGATTGCTCTTAATTCTCTTGTTGATCTGAAAATTATTCTGCATTTATATATGGATTGAAATTATATCTTATTATCTTCATTCGATCTTTGCTCAAGCTAGATTCATACGGAGTGGCGGTGTTTTCAGGGTTTTCTTGGTGTTCTTCACTTGCTTTCTCTAGATTTTTGATTTTGTTTCTTTGGACTTGAAGTTTTAATCTAAAATTCGCTTATGCTAATGATTTATTGATGTTTGTTAAATTTGGTAGAGTATCTTGAGTCTCTAGTGATTTCTATATGATGTTTTCGATGATGATGATTTTTCTGGTGAGGGCTCAAGTGGATTAATCGTCAAATGTGTTATTTGATTTTGTTTTTGAATAGATGGAGGCTTTTGGAATTAGTGTGATATTCGAACGAATTTTGTTTTCTAATGTTTCTATGTTTGGTATTTCGATTCAAAGAGAAGATGAATATTGGTGTTTTTTGAAATTGGATTTTATTGTCACTTGATAATGGATTTTTGAATTTGATTCTTTGAAGAATTAAATTTCGATTGTAGAAATCGACGCACTTTCAACTCGATAGAATTTTGTCTTGTGGATGTGATGCGTGAAGATTCGTTGTTTTTCGATGGTCTGTGATGTTTTTTATTTGGTTATCAACAAAACTGGTTGCTTTCGTTTTGGTCAAAATTTGATTGTTTGACTTTGAAATTGGAGCTTGAATGGATTTTCAATCACAGTTTATGTGAGTTTCGCTTGACTTGAGTTTTGATCGATTGAGAAAATAAGTTGGAAAATGGTTTCGCACCGGTTTCTAAAGTTGTTGATGATGGGTGAATGAATGAAATTAATGGCGGTGGACAAAAACAAACGAGATAATGAGAGTTGGGTATTAAGCAAAATTGTTGGTCAATGGAAACGTTCCTACGAAGAAAATAAGGTTAGTTTTTTGATAGTTTGTGGATGGGTGGAAGATGGATTGAAATTGTTTATGGTAGTGATGATTATGGTTTGGAGAATTGACTTTTTTGTTTAATGGGATGGTGGTCAGTAGGCGGATGGTGGTGGTTGGTTGTTGGTAGTCGATGGTGGTGTTATTGAATGTTGAGAGATGGAGAAGGGATATGTATACATAGATAATGATTTTAGATATTACATATTTTACTACGTATTTTATATTTTTAGAAGTAGAAGTACGTATTTTGATGTTATTTGAAGTGTGTTTATATATATATATATATATATATATATATATATATATATATATATATATATATATATATATATACTTCAAATAACATCAAAATACGTATTTCTACTTCTAAAAATATAAAATACATAGTAAAATATGTAATATCTAAATCATTATATATATATATATATATATATATATATATATATATATATATATATATATATATATATATATATATGTGTGTGTGTGTGTGTGTGTGTGTGGGTTCAATTGAGAAAAATAAAAAAGGTTGATAATGGAGGAATCATTCTCAGCCACTCATTTAATCTAAGCATATAAAGATACGGTGGCAAACATGTAAATATGTTAATAACCTTCAATCTCAAATACGTATCGATAACATTTCGTTCATCATAAAAAATTTTCCTCCAACCTTCAATAATCATCCAGATTTCTTTAATTAAACCGGAATTTCTTCGTTGTTCATGAAATTGGAATCAGAGTTCTGGACTTGCAGTCATAGTCGACATTGAAGGACTCGGAATCGGTACTCACAGGTTCCCAATCGGATTTTCGGAAAACAAAATCAAAATGAGAAATCGATCAGACATAGGATTTCGCATCTGAAGTCGAAATCGGAAGTATATGATGATTTGGAATTGATAACTTGATGTTTTTAAGATTTTTAAAATAGTTAACTTGTATGCACTCCAATTGTTTGATGGTATGCATAAACTAAATTACTACGTTATATTGACATATGAATATGTTTTTTCCACCTGAATCAGTATATGATTATTAAAAATACAAAACAAATATGCAAGTCTGTATGTTATTCATATGTGAATAACATATAAAAATTATATATATTTGTCAAAATACCTTCGAATATTCATAAGTAAATATATTCATAAGTGAATATACCTTGTAATATTCATATGTGAATATAGTGTGTAATATTGATAAGTGAATATATCATCTAATATTCACAAGTGAATATAGTATGTAATATTCACATTTGATATACCATGTAATACTATGTAATATTCACATATGAAATATTATTTAATACTCATAAGTGAATATATCATCTAATATTCACAAGTGAATATACTATATTAATATTCACAAGTAAATGCACCGTCCAATATTAAAATATGAATATATTATGTTTATTATATGCTGTAGTCACATATGAATGATACTTAAATTGTAAAAAAAAAAATCAGGCTTTTTATTCATAAGTGAATAACGAATGTACTGCAATAAAACCTGATGTATTTTTATTCAATTATGACTAACGATAGCTGAAAATATAAAAAAATAAAATTTTTATTTTATCTTAAAACTATATCAATATGGATATCTATTTGTATAGAATAAAAAATCATAAATTTTGGTATAAAACATGTGAATGGATTACAACAATAGAATTAAAAACCAACAGATACAACTTGTACAACAAACCTACAACAATTAACAACTGTAAATGGTAAAGTTTTTGGCATCATCTTTAAAAACATCAATGCATCATCTCATGAAAAACCATAAATTTCCTCATAAAGCGATAAACTCATTAGGTCATTAAAGTGAATTTCTACATCTCAATATGAACTTCAACACAAAAACTTGCATATTGTTCAAAATATGAGGCAATCATCAACTTAAATATTTATTAAATCTCAAAGTGTTTATAAATAAGTTCAACAAATTATGAATATCACATTTCAAGGAGAGTTAGAATCATAAAACCTGAAGTTAAATCCTCAC